GCCGCCCCGCCCGGGCGGTAGGCCCACCACTCCCACCCCCATTGCCCCGCGACCCCCACCTCCTACCCCACCCACCTACCTGGCCTTCCACACCGACACCCTCACACCCACCAACCTTCGGCAAGCCCGCCTCGCCCCTGACGCTCACCTCTGGGAACGCTCATGGAACGCCGAGATCGACTCCTTGGAGAAACGTGGCACAATCACCTACGTTCCCCGTACCTCCGTCCCTCCGAGCACCCGCATTCTCCCCCTTCATTTTCGTCTTCGCCTCAAACGCGACACAGACGGCAACATCACCTCCCACAAAACGCGCTGCACAGTTCGCGGCGACCAACAAGTGCCTCACCTCCACTACGATCCCGATAATGTCTCAAGCCATGTCGCTGATCGGGATGCTATCCGTTCTGCCCTCGCCCTCGCCATCTCCCAGCAACTCATCGCCGACCACTGGGACCTGGAATCCGCTTTTCTCCACGAACTCCTCCCCCCGACCGAAACCCTCTACATTCACCAACCACCCCGCTTTGATGGCTCTTACAAGTACCCCGGCCACGTCGGTCTCCTCAAAGGGAACCTGTACGGCCTCAAACAGGCTTGCCGCATCTTCACAAGCGGCCTTGCCTCCTCCCTCCGACTCCTCAATTTTGAACGCCTAACGAGCGACAGCTGCACCTTTATCCTCCGCCGCCCCGACAGTCAATCCTTCATTTTATTTGTCATAACTGTCGATGACTTCCTGGTCATCTCCAACGACCGCTCCCTCGTCAACGATGTCAAACGACAGCTTCAGGCGAAGTACACGCTCAAAGACCTCGGGCCTGTGAAACAAATCCTCGGCTGGAAAGTCACCCGCACAGCTACATCCCTCACAATCAACCAGCCGCACTACACGGAGGACGTCCTCACGCGATATCGCATGGAAAAAAGCAACCCTTCGCCAACCCCGTACGCCGAAATCGACCTCTCCGCTCGCAAACCCGACGAAGACCCACTCCCCGCGACCTACCCGTACGACAGCGCCATCGGCTCCTTGCGATACCTTGCCGACTCAACTCGGCCAGACCTCGCCTTCATAACCGGTCTCTTAGGCCGCTACAATCATGATCCATCTATGCGCCATTGGAAAGCCTTCCATCGCGTCCTGCGATACCTCCGACATACCCCCCACCGAGGCATCACCTACACCCCATCCCCTGCTCCCATGCGTGCATACTGCGACTCCGACTACGGAGGCTGCCCCGACACGCGACGCTCCACGTCTGGTTTCATTGCCATTTGGCAAAATGCTCCCATTTCCTGGCAATCAAAGCGCCAGCGCTTCGTTACCGCATCAAGCTGGGAGGCCGAATATGTCGCGGGGTTCCATGCCGCTCAGCACCTCACGCATCTACGCCGCCTTATTCAAGACCTGACACAATCCGACGACCTTCCGCCTACAAGTCTATGCATGGACAATGTCTCCACGCTGAAAACAGACACATCGGACCACCCCACGCCCAAGCTGAACCACGTTGACATCAAGTACCGCTTCCTAACAGAACAAGCCCTCCGAAAACGCCTCACTCTCCTTCACGTCCCTTCTACCTCCAACCCCGCTGATTGCCTAACCAAAGCGCTCAAACCCGCCGTCTTCCAACGGCAGCT